CTTTTTGCCATGGTTATTAAGCAAATTACCCACAATTATTAAACAACTGTGACTTGTGACTATCTGCTGGCTTTACCATTGAATTTGCTTGTTGGACATTGCCTGCGAAGATCACATATGACAATTGTATGACTGCAGGATGCTGCAACTGGTGTAAGTTGCCAAGAGCTGGATCATAGCAATGTGACTGTGGGGAGCACTGTGATGATCGTGAGAGGGCCAGTTGCAAATAACTTTTTTCAGTGCCATTGTAACATGAATGGTTGCTAAATGAATGGTTGTTAAGTAAGGATTACTTGTACAGTTTTCCACTGACTTTTGTTGGTGAACAAAACAGACATCTGTAAATTCTAGGCTTCATACCTAGAAAAGAAAAAAAAACCTATCTTAACCTTGCTCCCATTGCATATCTTTGCAAAATAACATCATTTTTACTTTATCCACTGCTTGTCCTGACTGCCCTCCCCCCCGTCCCCTCAATGCATCATAAAATATTTGTGTCCTACCCTGGACACTGAAAATTAACTTCCCTAAGTTAAACCCCCAGGGCTGTATATGTTTATTTTTCTTTATAAAAGTTTGCTTCTCAAATCCTCATGTATGAAATATGGTCTGTGAAAAAAAGAAAAGCATCATATTAGGTACTGATTTTATTTGATCATCCTAGTTGCCATTTGATATTTGTCCTCATTTCCCCACAGATACCCTTATTAAGAAGTCTCTATATGAATTTATGAGTATGCACAAGGGAACATCAATATTTCTATAAAAATACCTTGGATTGTATCCAGGAGTGTAATGGTAAATACTCTTTTGGTGCCTCAGAACATTCTGCAGTTTCAGAGAGAGGAGAGGAAAAAAATAGTGCAACATCCTGTTTTTCCAACTGTACAATAGTATAGCTGATTAATATATTTTGCTTTGTGATTTCCTAAGAATTTCATTTTGAAATGTATTTATTTTTATTAGGACACGATGGTGCTATTACCTCAGTTGGTTGGAGCCATGACAACAATTGGCTTGTTTCATCTTCCGAAGACAGAACATTAAAGATCTGGTCAGTCAGCAGTGCAGAGCCCTCTTTATGTCTGGTAAGCTTTTTAAGTGAAATAGATTTGGGATACTCTGTATTCCATTTGACCACCAAAAACATACTAATTGCATATATTTGAAATATGCTGCACATTAATAACTTAATAACAAAGGTTTTTTTTAAAAAAAAATCAGTGGTATTTCACATTTTAGTTATCATGCTCATAATACCAATTTGTCTTTCTTGCAATTCTTGGTCAACTTAGGGCCAATCTAATATTTCCTGATTTTTAGAGTAGATATAAATCTTGCATCTCTCACTGGGACCACCAGAAACATGATTCCTGATAATCTTTCTAAGGTTCAAAAGAGATTTTCTTTTCCAAATTTATCTTGGTCAAGGTCAAGGCATTGTAACAATGGAAGTGTTTCTCCAAAGGGATGCTCAGCAGAAGACTGGATGCTTATCTATTGCTATTGAGAAGTATAGATATTTATCAGTGTTTCTCATCCTGTTTCCATAGTTCCAGAAGCATAGACTGTATTTGCTGACTGCATTTTCATGAATATAGCAGCCTTTTTGCCAACCTGTGGTGCTACCAAATATGAAATTGCTCCAAGATTGGTATCTTCTGCAGAGCCCCTTTTCATAGATGGCTTATCATCACCACATCTCAACTAAGTAAAGCCTGACAATAGGGAAATATTTCTTCCTCACTATCATTTCCAACTTCTTGGCCTAGCAGCCACACTACAAGTAGTCCTTGACTTATGACCACAATTGTGATTAGAATCTCAGTTGTTGAGCAAAGTGATCATTAAGTAAGACATTCTTATGACTGCAGTCCTGGCACTATTGGTTGCATTCATTAAGCAATCTCTCTGGTCATTAAGTGAACAGAACAAAAGAGATGCCTGCTGGACGATTTTACCTCCATATGAAGCTGAAATCCTCTGGGCAGGCAGCTGAGAACTAAAAATTTCAGCTATGCACAGTGCTGAAATCCTCCTGGCAGGCAGCCCTTTTGCTCTTAAATACTCCTGCAACCTCGGAAAGGATTTCAGCTGCTCTCTATGCACGGAATAGAAATCCTATGGCAGCTGCAAGAACAGAGGTGAAATCTTCAGGATTTCAGCTCCATTCCCACAGCCTGCCAAACAGTTTCCCCTCCATGCAAGTCTGCAGACTTGTCCAGCTAATTGGAACAGGGTGGGACAGGGCTGTCTTTCAGGGATTTTGGAGTTCTTTCGGAATATAGGTCTGAGGTCTAATCAGAAAATGCCTAAATCCTATAAATAAATGCCTTCCCCTCAAACAAATCTTGACACTCTTTTGGGTTATGATGAGTTTTATCATCATAAATATATGTTCATGATCTTAGAAGTTCAGATTTTGAGTTGGAGGAAGTCATAGTTACATTTTGGAAGGAGGAACTCGCCAGTCAATGCTGAAAATATTTTTTTGTCATTTTTATTCATGTGGTCATTCTGTATTTGTACTATTAAAAGAAAATCAGAATAACAATCATCTAATGTGGACATGGAAACAATGCACATTTCCTAAGTCTTATACTAAAAAATTAACATGACATTCTTTCCTCTGTTTGGTTTGTTCACTCAACATTTTCAGTGGAACTTTTTATTTACTAATTTCTGTTTCTCTGTCTCCTTAAATTACTAATTTCAAGGCAAAAGCAAGGAACAAAGAAACAAAAAGGGAAAAAGATATTTCTTAGTGGGAGTAAAAATACGTGACCAAATTCTTCTATCCCTCATCATGAGTTCAACTGATTGTGGTGGGATGTAAATGCAGTAAATTATAAATAAACCAGAACACAAGCCAATAAATATAATTGTTGGTGTATTGGTTAAGTCTATTGGAGTTGGAATGTCATAATATTGATAAATGTTGCTTTAAACTGCATTGAAGAACAATGTAAGATAAATTAAGATTGGTAATTAAAAAAAATATTTCAGTTTGAAAAATAAACTAGATGACAATAGTCTACAAATAAACTACCTGTGTTTTCTAAATGAGAATTACAGGATAAACAATATTTATTTTGTACTTTTAATTTCAGGGAAACGATATATTTCACAAATCTGTCCGATCAGCCCAGTTTTATTATATAGATACATTCATATTATTGTCCTGTGGAGCAGAATTTTATTTATTAAGATACTATCTTGACACCAGCAAAGATGAGATAAAACGGTATGTATTTAAAGTAGCATTAGTAGAAAATGTAATACTGTGCTAATAATATTTTGTTGACATGTGCAAGTCCATTCAGTAGTTCTTTAAACAGTATAGAAACACCACTGTTAGTGCAAAAAAAAATAGTAAAATGTGAGATTTCTTATGCACTAGCTTTCAGAAACAGAAACATTGGTGTATATTTCTAGATTTGTTATAGTTGTTAAGGTTGTACTTATTAAATAGTCATTATATATACTGCAAAATATGTAGATATTACCTTGTATAACAAATAAATTTTTTGCCATAAATAAAAATAATTATTAAAATGAAATGTGTTCCAAGAGGGAAGATTGAGTCTGATCTGAATTAGGGGTTTGTTTGGCATTATATCAGATTTAATTTTAAAACTTTTGTGGAATTATTATTGCTTTTTTCTTTTTCTTTTCCAATATATTATTTCTAGAGTTATGAGTTATGTAATATTACCACACTGCAGAAGGATGCATAACATTGCTGCAGTTTGATAGAGTAATCAGTTAAAGGTACTATTTTTTTAAGTAAATACTCATTCTTAACAATAAAAAAACACTTTTAAGGCTGAGCGCCCCATCACTGGAGATCTTTAAGAAGAGACTGGACAACCACCTGTCTGAGATGGTATAGGTTCTCCAGCTAGAGCAGGGGGCTGGACTAGAAGACCTCCAAGGTCCCTTCCGGCTCTATTCTATTCTAAATATCAGAAAAGAAAAAAAATTAAAGCTGGCTTGTCTTCTGGATAAGAATAGGCTATTTCAAAATAGCTTTAGAAATCACACACACACACACACTTACGTAAGCATTACTAAAGGGTATTAATCAATTAATAAATTAAAAGAAGTCAAGTAAAGGTATTTCTTTATTGTTTTAACTGAAAAAGAGAAGAATCAGTAATGAAAGAAAATGGGAATGATTGATTTTATAAAGTAAGCCATTTCCCATTTGACAGATGAAATTATAGTGTAAGGAAAACTAAGAAAGGAGATATTATATGACATTATTAATCATTTATGTAACGTCAATTTACCTCATTTCTTCCATGTATGTATCACTGTGTTATTTCTGTCATTTCTTTTATCTGGTGAGTCAGATTTGGTAAACAGCTGAATTGGGAAAAAAATTTGTGGAACATCGTCAGAAACATGAGTAATGTCTTAAATCTCTTATATTAAAGTTCAACTTTATGGGGTGAAGGGTTCTTGGCGCTCTCTGAGCTTGCTTGTTTTCTTGCAGACATTTCATTACCCAAACTAGGTAACAGGGTGCTTTACGGGGTGGTTTGAATTGTGATGGCTCATTCACACCATCATAGTTTCTGTATTCTTCAGATACTAGACATACATACTTATATGTGGACTGAACTTCATAGTTTTACAATTGATTTTTTCCCCTATAAATTAGGATTTGAGTGAGCAAGTTCTATAGCATGAAAACAGAGGAACTTGAACTTGTTATGTCTTGCTGGGTTCCTTAGATTAGAATAGAGCTGGAAGGGTCCTTGGAGGTCATCTAGTCCAGCCCCCCACTCAAGGAGGAGAACTATACTATCTCAGACAAGTGACTGTCCAGTCTCTTCTTAAAATCCTCCAGTGATGGAGCACCCACGATTTCTGAAGGCGATCTGTTAATTGTCCTTACTGTTAGGAAGTTTCTCCTTAATTCCAGGTTGCTTCTCTCTTTGGTCAGTTTCCAACCATTGTTTCTGATCCAGGCCTAGCAATCTAGACCTACAATTTGCATTACAGAATAAAATCAAAATAAATAGGAGTTTTATTGTATTGCGAATTCCGTAACACAGATTCCTGATTCAGGGATCACTGATTTAAAAGGAGTTAAAATTCCCTCCTCCCGTTTTCCCCTGTCTGCCAGATTCAGAAGGCTTATGCAGGTAATTCATTGGAGGAAAAACCCACCCATTCTTTTTGGCAACCCTATTGCTATTAAATACAAAATTAAAAAAAATGCTGCCTTAAAAGCAAACTCTAGGGAAAAATCATGCTGTAGATGGGATGACAATCCCATTGCATAAGCTGAGAGTCACTCACATCGTGTTGGACAGGACCCAGCATATAATACGAGTGGAACAGAAGAATTTGACATTTTAACTATCAAGCTGAGATTGCATATATTGTACAGGATCAGCTGAAATTCTTTGTCATTCTTTGTTCCAGTATAAGCCTAGGAAAACAATATTTTCCACTGTGCAGGGAAGGAACTTTAACTTTTGCTATTGGAATATATGCATCATTCTTAAGTTTTGCAGATTTTTGTATTATTTTCATAGATTAAAGGAAAAATGTATATGTAACTTAATATAGTACCTGATGTGTGTTAATGAAAATACGGAAAACAAAGATCTTCAGTTCTTTTTATTGATAACAGAAAGTATATGTTAAGAAAATCTTTATTTTTTTTTTGACAAAATATTCGGATTCTATATTTTTCCAAAGTAGAAAAGGCAAGAATAAAAAAAATGCTAAAACCAAGGCTTTGAAATATGGGTTGGAATAAATATGGATTTTATTTTTTTCTTTTGCTTCATGAATCTAGAGGATACATGTTTATCTGATTTATTTCTGTAGATATAGAACAAAGAGTATTTGCAAATCAATACAGAAATTTCCAATGTCGTCTACGGTGGAAATTACCAGTCTTGCAGCAGTGAATGACTTCTATTCCTGTATCCTCTATCATCATTATTGGTGTTGTTTTGCAAAAGGCATTAGTTCTTTCATTACAATTGTTTATTGTAATACAGGTGTTCCTCAACTTACAACCACAAATAAGACCAAAATTTCTGTTGCTAAGCGAGACAGTTGTTAAGTGGATTTTCCCCCATTTTATGACCTCCCTTGCCACAGTTGCTAAGTGAATGACTGCAGTTGTGAAGTTAGTAACACGGTTGTTAAGTGAATGTGGCCTCCCCATTGACTTTGCTTGCCAGAAGGTCGCAAAAGTGGATCACTTGACCCCAGGACCATCATAAATAGGAGTCAGTTGCCAAGTGTCTGAATTTTGATCACATGATCTTGGAGATGCCTCAACGGTCATAACTGTGAAAAATGGTCGTAAGTCACTTTTTTCAGCACCATTGTAACTTGGAATAGTCACTAAATGAACTGTTGTAAATCGACTACCTATAATGAGTAAAAATAAGTTAAAAAGATAATAAAAAGTATTATGAGGTTTCATATTCTGGTAGCTAATGTCATGCCTTAGTGACTGGAACCTGGGGTCATGTGCAATCATGTACTTGAATGGTGCTGACTGTGGAACTCCATGTCACCATCTCTATTTCCCTTTCTGTTAAAGTTTGATATTCCTATTCTAAGTTATTTAAATGCAGTATATATTTTTCCTGACAATTGAAAGCCTGGATATACTGACTGCCATACTTGTAACATATAATTTGTCAAACAGAACTTTAACTTACAGAAATTACAGATATTGTATTGGCAGCTGGGAGTAACAGAGCACTAGAAATATTTGACCTCAACGTGGGCTGTAGTGCAGCACTGATAAGAGATGCTCACTCTAGATCAATTCACCAGATTTGCCAAAATAAGGTAGGCACGATCTCTGTTTATATTTCCAGTATTTTGCAAAGTGCAAATGAATAGAATAAGTACACATAAGAACAAACTAATGATGAAATCATTTCAAACTTTGCAAAGATTAACTTGATTTATATTTTGAGTGTCTTTGTCTTGGTTGGGAAAATGTCTGCTACATTGGGTGGAAGATCTGGGCAAATGATTCATGTTAGTTTTGCTCCTCTGGTTCTGCTTGTGAAGCAGTTATCACCACTCAAAGTTCTGGGACTTCTTTGAGGGTAACGTGTGAATTGAAGAACTGAAGCTGGCTTCTATTTTCAGTTTAATTATATGGTATCTTCAACAAAACCTTGCAGTACAGAGAGTTCCTATGTAGAGGTTCAGGTAGCCCAATGGTGTCCCTCCCACCCCATGATACTACTTTTTACTTCCCTCAAATTCTCATTTTAACTTTCTTTGAAAATCAGTTAGCATTCCATGGGCACTGTACGTACGTATGTACGTACGTATTTATAAAATTTATTGGCCGCTCATCTTACCACACGGTAACTCTGGGCAGCTTACAGTCATAAAAATGTATTTATATATGTACATTAAAACATAAATAAATTAAAACCAAACATTAAAATCTAATAACATGCGCAGAAGGTGGGGACAGAGTGGAGGAAGATGGGATCAGTTGTTGCTTGATCAGCCACTTCCACTGCACTGGATATATTGATCGTTCACTGAAATTATTGTCCTATTCTCCCTCCCTATTTTTTCCCTTTCTTTTGTAAATGCATGTTTGTCTTGTGCTTTTGGAAATTATAGTGTCTCTGGAGTTTTTCAATATGCATATTGGGGCTATTTGGTTACATGGAACGTAGATAAGCATTCAGTATTATTGTCTAAGGTACAGTCTACATATTGCAATCCTCCCAAATGCTGTTCAATGTTGCTCAACTCAGTTATTTGACATGTGTTTTGTCAAATGTTTTGTCTTCATGAATACTGCAAAACAAATGATGTACACAATATTGTGGTATGTTTGACCCATGTATTTTTTTTTAAAAAAATTGTTTTGGAACATTATGAATTAAATTAGGAAAGTTTTAATAGATGCAGAATTTTTGATCCAGAGATTCTGTTGCTTCATGCTGAGGTACCATAAGTTTGTGGACCATTATTTTTCATGAAAATACACCCATAAAGCATGTTTGAAATTCCAGTGAATTGCAAAACTATTGCGTGCTATTCTATTAGCATACAACGGATTTTAGAAAGAAGCTCTGTTGCACAGATGTAACTGGCAAACTGCAGATACACCAGTGAGTTCCACCCTCTGTCTTTAGTTTTCTGAAATATTAGATACATTATTTTATGCTCTATTGGTAAATGTACTGCTTTAGTATGTTTTTTACAATTAATTTGCTCACTGATTTGCACCCCAGTCTTCAACACTATTGATAGCAGTGTCAGTACCATAATAGGTCATTTATCTGTCATGTAAAGGGAAGTAAGTCTAAACAATACTTTCAATATCTCCTTCCTATGTGTTAATTTATTCCATGTTACTACAATGCATGTTTAGATAGTATGACATTGTGCATAAAGTATGATTGGCAAGATGTTCTAACAGAACCATTGATATCCCTTGTGGCAAAACTTTATTAGGAGACATTCATTTTTATAGATTTGGACTGAATTGTTTTTCTTAAGTTTTCCATCCCATGAATAATGTTTTACTTAAGGAAACTTTAGTATCTTGCACAGTTTTATGTTCAGTAAATAAATGTCCTTGTTTTGCAAAGTCTTAAACTATATGGATCTTGTCATTTTAGACACTACCCTTTTCCTTATTCTTCATCTCAATCTTTAAAATTAGCTGACCATACCTGTACTATACCTGTATTACATTTCCTGTACTATCTTTGCTCCAGGTTTTGTCAGTGGCTGTTCTTTAAGTGATAAAATTGTATATTTCCCCCTTAGGATTTTAATTGTAATGTGATTATTTGGACGGACTTTACATGCAGTTGTTTAAAAACATATTCTAAACTAGGGCTTATTTTTATTAGCTATAGTACTCTGCAAACTAGACTACAGTTAATTTATTTAATTCTATTTCTGTAATGGAAATAAATACATGGTACTGAGTCAACTTGATTCAATTTGCAAAAAACTCTCATATCAGAAAGAGGTTAAGTAGGAAATAGCATGATATGGATTAATTGTACTTGTCTAAGTAAGCCACAGGATGTGGAAGAGTCTGATTTGTTTTAGAAGGTGGAACAGACTTCTGTATTAACTTTTTTAAAAAAGCCTTAGGTGCCTATAGCATGAACTAAACTTTGGAGTAGAAGTTGTATGGGTGAAATTTGTACTTGGTTGCTTATCAACCAAATCTTTTAATTTTAGGTTAAAGACATTAACACTGAGTTGCTTTGGCGGTATGTGCCAATACTTTAAGGAATATAGGTGCACTGGGATATAATCTGAATTATCCCTACTATGCTGTTATCCTCATTAGTCAGGCTACAGACAGCCATCCATCTTGAATGTCTTTTCTGTTGTAGCATTGAAACAGTTCCTTAAAATGACTTTAGCATAGTTTTTTATGTTGTTTTATGAGACTGGTCTGTTACAACATTTAACTATACTAAACTCTACAAGTATCATTTGTTATATGTTGGCCCTTTCCTCTGTTTTATTTCTCAATGTCAGCAGAATGATTTCAAGTTAGTTAAGCAGAGCTCACTTTGAAATTTGTGGACATACAGCCACATGGGGAATGAAATTAGTCTTATTTTCATGAAAAATGGAAGATTACAATCCTAAATCAACCTTTTCAACATATATTCAACTTTTATAGTGAAATGCTGGCAGCAAAACACCATGGCTATATTAAGCAAATACCTTTGGGAAAGCTTTGGGAAGAAATGCTGTTAGAAGTAGAAAACGAAGGTGCAATCCAGCAGATGCACATACTATTATATAAGAGGATATTTGGAATATATATACCAGTGATGGCGAACCTTTTAGAGACTGAGTGCCCAAACTGCAACCCAAAACCCACTTATGCATCGTCAAGTGCCGGGTGGGTGTGGCCCATTGGCTGGGTGTGGCCCATTGGGTGGGCGTGGCCAATTGGGTGGGCATGGCTGCGGTGGTAACGGCAGACTGGGGGGGGGACTAAAAAGTTCAATCAATCAATTCCAACTTTGCAAGATCTTTTTTTTCCCCCGCGAGAAGTTGAAATTGACTGATCGAACCTTTTTTTTTTTTTGCACATGGCGGCGGAGGCCTAAAGCGAAAAGGTTTTATAAAACCCATCGGAAGGCCTAGGACTGGGGCAACGGCACACGTGCCCACAGAGAGGGCTCTGAGTGCCACCTCTGGCACCCGTGCCATAGGTTCGCCACCACTGATATATACATTCATATCTGTCTCTCTGTGTGTGTGTGTGTGTGTGTGTGTGTTTGTTTGTATACAAGATTAACAAATTTTAAGGCTGACAGTTTTATAATTTTATATAATTTCCCTTTATGTTAGTTTATATTTTATTGTTTTTTGATTAATTTTTCCTCTACCTGAGCTGTGTTGCCATCTATGAGACAAATTGTCAACTGACCTGTCTGTTGCTTTTACTTGCTTTTACTTTGTTTTCTTTCCTAGCTACCTTGTTATTTCTCACACCCAGTAAGGTGTATTAACCTAGTATAAATATTCAGTGTTTGGCATTCAATTCAGGGTTAGTGAAAAACTAAGGGCTTTATCCAGCCTTAAAAGCACACATTCTACTTACATAGCGGCACTTCATATTTCTCTTCTTGGCCGTGCTTGCCCCAAATCATCACTGAAGGGTTTTGTAATCTTCCGAAGAAGACCATGATATGGGATTGAATAATCTATCCTCTGGCAGAATAGTATCAGAATAATGCCAGTGGATTTCTATTTAATAAAAATAAGAAATATGCTTTTCTTTGATTCAATTTACATTTGGTCTTGACTGAAATACTACTCTTGCAAACCTCTGGTCTAGTGAAATAGTGTTCAGGATGCCAGGATTTTCAGAAAGAACCACCACATAGATTCCTGTGCCTGGCTCTTTGACTAATAAAGTTAATAAGGCATCCTATTGGCTACTGGACTACACATTGACCTTTGAATCAGAGCTTTGGATGAAAGACAATGACATTTTTAATACAATCCAGCAAGCCTAAACAGGATTATAAATCCAGTGTTCTCATTTCTTAGCCTAGCATTAGTCACAAGGTACTCTGTGTAAAGTTCCGTAATAAATATAGTTCCAAACTATGTTTCTTGGATGTTTTTTGAACATCCCCAGACCTCAAAAATGTTCCAGTTTCTTTTGAATGCAAGTGATTATTGGCAATTTATCTCAGACTTCTGCTGTAATTGTATTGTTTAAAACACGTTTAACGTTAATCTCATTTTAACAAGGGATTGGATGCCATGTGCCCTTATATAATCTCACATGATGACCCAGAAACTTGTACACTTTTTTTAAAAAAAGGGGAACCCAGTTAAATCTTACTTTCCATGATTTCATGCAAAAAAGTAGAGTCTTGAGATGTCAAACAAATGTCAAAATCTTTTTGACAAATTTGTCATTCTCATACAAGAATTTGTGAGATTTCATGAACTCATGGAAATGTCATAAGATTGGGTGTGGTTAGGGTGTGGTTATCTGTTGACCTGTTTAATGACAATCACAACCTATGACCATAATTGCAGGTTCATTTATGGTTGTAAGTCCAGAACTATCTGTAATTTAATTTGTGCTTCTGTCTTTCTTTCAAAACAGTAACCTCAACATTCCTCATTTTGGCCTTATTTTAAATGATATGAAAAAAAGTAATGCAATGTTATAAATAAGCAAATAATAACTGTTTACCTCAAAAGTAAATAATTATTTAAAATAAATATTAAATGTTATTTTAGATTCAAAATGCCAAATGCTGTTGAAAGTAGAAATGTATTCTGTGTTGTCCATGTTGTCGTCCATGTTCTGTAACTTCAAAAACTTATCTTCTCTTTACCTGAATACAAGTTCCAAATTGCTTAATGGTGTTTAGTGCTGTTTTTTTTATTACCACTAGATTTTTATAGAACTCTCTGGTCATTTTAATAGAATTTCCTCAAGGAACAGATTTTATATTCAGGTGTATTGTAAGTTATATGTTTTCTATCAACTGTCACTGGTTAATTACATACATTTAAAAATGAATACATTTCAAATACTAATATAACAGTCAATCTATTCTATGAGATTATTGTAATCCTTTTGTAGTCAACTTTAATGCTCTATTGAATATCCACTGACTTAAAATTGGGACATTTCCTAATTATATGTCAACATTTCTGAAAACTCACTGTCTATAGCTAAAAATAATTTCAGGCACTGAATATTTGGCAAAACTCATATGAATTATTCAATCCTCTCTCCTCTCTGAAGGAAAAAATACAAAACATATTTAATAACATTGATGTTACTTGAAATTATTTATTTTGATTATTTAAATTCATATTCAGGATTAGTAAATATGATTTATATTTAATTCAATTCAGTAAAAATTGAGTCCATATGTATTAGAGTTCTTACAGAAGCTTTCAGTCAGCTGTCTAATATGAATTCTTTCGCTATTGTTTGACTGCTGAAATATTGTTTAATTTTGATTGATTGATTGATTATTTTATTGACTGATTATGTGCTGTCAAGATAATGTCTGCTCTTAGCAACCACATATATCATTTTTTTTCCATGACAGTCTGCCCTAACCAGGTCTTTCGGGTGTTCCAATGGTTGCTTAATTTTATTTGCTTCAAATATTTATATGATTCCTTTTAATAAGAAAAGGATCAGAAAAGCAGTTAATTCCTAATAAAGATTTATCTTAAATGACAAAAGATTGTAAAACAGTTTGAAATATACTTAGAAAAAGTTGATTTTGATCCATCTGCAAAGCACAGTTGTCTCCAAAGAAGAGACATAGATGCCTATAAATGAACTTTCCATAATTCCAGAATCATAGCTGACTCATTTTGCTGATGAAAACCAGTTTCAATTCTCAAAAGAATGGCTGCCAAAAGACAAATTCAAAAGATCTTAAAGATAGTGGTTGATCTAGGAAAAGAAACTGTTTTATAAAGTGATTTCATTTGGCTCAAAAATAGTTTTTTACTTTTCTAGAATTGCACTTTGAATAAAATAAATAGGAATTCATTGTGCTAAAATGATTTATAAGCGTATTCTAAACCAGGGGTCCCCAACTCCCAGTCCATGGACTGGCACCGGTCCACGACATGCCAGAAACCAGGCCCCGCAAACAAGCGAAGCCCCTTCCACGGGATGCAGGCAGCATATGAAACCACACCCCCTCTGGTCCGTGGAAAAATCTTTCTCTCCGGAACTGATCCCTGGTGTCCAAAAGGTTGGGGCCGCTGTTCTAAACCATAGTAACAATATAAGCCATCATTGAGCAGAAACAGAGTACTGTGAAAGCTAGATTTAACAATTCTCTGAATGGCTGTATGACACTTACATTGAAGAAAAATCTGATCTTTTGTCAATTTTGGCTTTTATTATTTTATTTATTATTACATGTTCTTCTATGGAGTTTCAACAGTGGAAATGTTTTCTAAACTATACAAGCTACTATAATTTTAAACTAATGTTTGTTTTTCTTTCAGGGATCATCTTTTAGCTGTCAACCACATGAAGCTTACAATCTCTTTTTAACAGCAGCCATTGGTGATGGTATCAAACTTTGGGATTTGAGAACATTAAGGTAACAGCCAGTCATTTTGCTGTTTGCCATGTTTCCTGGTAATTCTTTATTACACTATACAAGTGCTTTTTAATATATTTTTTTTTCTTACAAGAGTTCACAAGGAATTATTTGAAGTACTTGATATTTGCAAAGTTATGGAACTTCTGCACGATTTGATGAAGTTTGGTTAGTCCAGCTTTGAAACAGCTACTTATAATTCCTCAGAAATAAGGCAACATATAAATATTTCTGAATAAATGTTTGCTTGTTTAATTTATCCCCAGGCATAATTTATGGTTTCTGTTAGATATCATAATATAGGGAGTACAAAATTGCAAAAATGATTATGGGATCATATAAAAGTCAAAATTTTTACTCTGTGGCATTTTGTCTTCCTCAAATGCAGTTCTCCTTTGGAGACACAGCGTCCTGAGTACAGCATACAAACAACCAATAAGGACTGTGTGGTTATTTAGGCACATGCTGAAAAATAGCCAGTCTACATTTGTCCTTTCATGAGATTAAGCTGGGAAAAAACATATGGAGAATATTGCATTGGTTCCTTAGTTTAAACACATTCTCAGCAATAAAATCTAAATATTGCTGCATTAAAACATAACTTAGTCATGTGATGAAATGCCAGTGAGTGGGAAAAACTGTCATAAAAGCTGGGGAAAGGCAAATATAAAAGAATAAATATCATCTGGAGGAGAGGTTGAGGAACATGGGCATTTGCCACATAACTCAGACAAATGTAAGTACAGGGAAAAACTGATATATCCTAATTGGCAGAATTCCATGACCACTTTACTTAAGGATTAACAGTTTGTTGCATACAGTTTTGCACTGTATCTGATGAGGTAAACTGCAATCTACAAAAACATATGTGTGATATATTTCTTCCTCTTTGAGACATTACACAATTTTTGTTGATTATACCTGCATATACAAGTTTGTGTTATTTATGATATAATGTAAGTAACTATAAAATGATTCTTCATTCTAGTCTTCGTAGCTATGAATGAAATGGCCTTATGTTACTTCCCCCCAAATTTAAGTGACATATTTTTTAAAAAAATTGCAATGAACTTAACAAATCGGAATGTACTTTTTTATCCTTAAAAAGTGTACAATTGTCTGAACTGAAAAACATTTCAGTATAGGGTTACAAACTACAGAAGCAGTACAGAAAAGCACACATGGGAGATCTTTGTAAATCATTAAATGTCCAAGTCAAATGTTTTGGAAAAAAATTAGTCTGGAAGAAGTTGGAGGAAACTATAAAAAAACAACAACAGAAGCTTACCTTTGAAATTGGAATTAGCACATTTTTTGAAACAATAATGGCTCATTATTCCTAGCAAATGTCTAAATATAGTGAAATGAAATATTTAGGAAAAAAGGTTAACTATATTATATCCTTATGCTTTTTCTATCAATTGGTTTAACTACTATTCATGAATAGTAAAAAGTTAATTTTTTTAACAGGTTACTTACTTGCAGTCTCCTTTTAAAACATTAAAATTCAAGGGGGAATGGTAAAATAATTAAAATACAATCTGTATGAGTAGTTTCTCTATATTGCAATCCTAAATTATATAGTATGATAGGCTGTACTTGTTGGTTACGTCTAGAGCCTTTGATTTCCCTCCCCTCCTTTTTCTCCCTTCTATTTACATTTCCTCTAGTCTGTATTGTTCCTATAAGTGCTATTGACTAGTTTGATTTAACATCATGATAGGGTGCTATGATCTCAGCTGCAGTTGACTTTGTGGGGCTGATACCATAGATGGTCTTGTCCATTTTGGCTCCTAATACTAAGGCTAGTAAGACAAATTAGAGGAAATTTTAAAATTTGAGTTCCAAATTATGTACTATTCTTTATATATAAAAAAAATAGTATTTACCAGCACCTACTCCATTTATGGAATTATACCACAGTCCTTGGATCAAAAGTTCTAGTAGTGAAGCTGTCAAAGCAAAATTTTCTCCCAGGTTACCAGAATTATATGAAGAAGATAATAGTCTTCAATGTCAATCACTTTTCAGTTAGGATGGTAATGAAAAAGTAACTTTACAGCCAGTCCTCGCATTTATGACCTTCAAGGGTCTATAATCTCAATTTCACTTAATCACCACTTTGCTTATTGGCTGAGTTGCCAGTCTAAGTGGAGGTTGCTAAGTAAGGACTACTGTACAGTAGAATCAAGCTTATGGTCCGAGCATAGCACTGAGACACCAGTTCTTAGAGTGAAGATTCAGAAGATCATGCTGGGAGAAACTTAGTCAGGATAATACAAAGGTGCTTCAAGCTGTGCTGGAAAGGATAATTTTATCTGTGAAAACTCAGAGCCTGTGGGTCTTTTCGGATTCACTGATGAAGCTGGATACCTAGGTTTTTGTGGTGTCCAGAAATGTGTTGGCACAGTTAAGGATGGTGACCAATTCTGTGTATTCCTGGAGATGTCAGATTTGGCCATGATGACACATGCTATTGTAAAATGCTCTTAGGACTACCATAACATAGTCTGAGAAAAGTACTCAGAAACAGAAAAGAGAAAATGCTGCAGCCAGACTGATGTCTAGAACTGATTAATAGGAATATGCAATTCCTTTCTTAATACCCTTCCATTGCTGGCAGTCTGTTCCTGGAAAAAGTGTTGGTTATGATCTATAGTTATATATAACTTGGCCCTAATTTATTTGAAAGATCCTATTCTCCCTTATGAGCCAATTCATACTTTTAAAATGGCAAAAGAAGCCATTCTCTCTGTGTTGCCACAGTTAGGGGTACCTTCTGCTGCTACTGAAATTACTTCTGAGTTCACATTTTACAAATGTAAACTTTCTCTAACGAGCCACAGTGAGGACTATTTGTTGATGGAATGATGGGATACAAGTGCAGTAACTAAGTGGCAATACATTTTTCAGAAGCATAATTTTTGGAAAGAAAAAATCAGGCAAGTCATTAAAGAGTTTAAAGAAATTATTAGGGAAATAAAGTTGGTCATCTATTTCTCAACATATATTGGAGCAATTTGTAATGTAAAGAGCATAGAGACATTGGCAAGCTGCTTTGCTTTAGACTCTCCAGATATCAGTTCAGGCATTTTCTGCCTACAGTATTTCCTGCTTATAGACTTCATGTGAAGAATATTAACATTAATATTACATGCCAGTTATCCCAGTCTTTCTTGTAGCACCTAAAAGTTACATGACAAAGATTTAATTACATAGAATACCACCAGTAAGCTGATTCCTTCGAATCATTTGTAAGTATTTTTGCTTTCAGCAGTACGTGGCATTTGAATTATTGATTGCTCCTATGTTAAGTCAGAAGGGAGGAAGATACATGTCCTTCATGATCTATGAACATCTTGATCCATGAATGTTTATCCACAGAGATATATGAGTCTGGATTTCATAATTGTATATTATGAGAACTATTAGCTTGAATTTCATAATTGTATATTATATTATGCTTCCACTGTAAAAAGTTGACTGATGCGTAAAGATTTTTATTTGTTTTCCAGCCAAATTTTAAAAGCAGCTTAGATAAACCATTTCTTAACAAATAAGATCTACAAGGCTTGGGATTTATTTTAGGCTTTGGGAACAGATGAAATGGGTTTATATTTCCATAAACCAGGAGCCACCATTCTCATACATAAATCTGAGACCTCCAAGAGTTAACAAATTAGCTATTACTACAATGCAACAAATTCTCATCTATTCATCAAAGAGACAATATGCGAGTGAGGTTTTGCTTTGAGTTCCATCTCTTTCAGAAATAAAACAAGGAAGATATTGTACTCAGTTATGGAATGCCCAACTGTTTAGTAGTAGGAATATTTATTTCCTTTGTTTTATCCAGATGATTTGTTGAATATGTTCTGCAGCACATAATAATGCCTGAGGATAATGCCTGTAAAAATACCCAGTGGAAAGCCCCTTGCACATTTCTTTCGAGATAAACAATTGCTTGCGGAAATAGATGCGAGCAGGGCTTTTCTTGGCTAATCTCAGAAAAGCTAAGCGGGGTAGAAAGTGATTAGCTCTTGGATAGGCAGCCACTAGAAAATCACAGGACTATAGGGTAGACCAGAAGGATTTGGAAAAAGATAGTGGCAAATGGTTTCCATATTATTGCCAGAAAGACTGTAGTCAAACTGGTCTCAAGAATGTTTCCTGTATTAAATTATTGTTATTAAAGACAGTTTTCTAAGTAACTATTTAGCCTGTTGTGTCAGGCTTCAACCAAGAACAATAGAACAATCCAGCCAAAGTTCAGTTCTTTATTTGCTTATGCCATATAGACAGAATCTTGGAGACTAAACCTGTACTACCCTAATCTATGAATATACCCTGGGAGATTCTAGGGAATGGCTATGTTAAATCTCTTCCTCCCTCCATGATCCAGCTCCAAACTGTGTTGTCTCACCCCCCCTTCCTTGGAATGTCTTCCCTCTTTCCTGAGAAACTGCTGCATTACTGAAATCCATCACACCACTTTCCCCTTCATAGACACATTCCATTGCATCATGTCTGTTAATTAATGTTTCTTAAATGTAAGTCTTAAAGACATCATGTAGAACAATGTTGAAAAATTTCTGAACTTGTATAAGAAACTAAAAACGATATTGGAAAATAAACTGATGCATGTATTCAACGAAAGATACCAAATCTTTACAACTCATTCATCAAATCTGAGAAAAGAAAATCATAGATCGTCATGTCAATTGTCCATTTTTAGCTAAATTAGGAACAGTGTCCTTATTCTAATTTACATTTCTTGAATGCACTCATGTACATATATGACTAAGCATACACATATTCTCTCATGCATCACTGCAGTGTTGTGTAAAACCCTTCTTACATACACATACTAAAAAATTAAATATTGGAAAAATATACTAGAACTAAGTAAATCAACACCACAAAATATTTGGAAACATAAGCTGATTATTGAACTTCCCTTCCTAATCACAACAGGTATAATGCCCAGAGAACAGCAAACTGAACATATAAAATAGTGGAATAATCCTAATAATATAAAAAAGTCAACTCTGCATCTAGCACTGCAAGTCATAACTAAATTTGAGGCAGATACTATTTCCTTGAGATACTTAACATAAATGCAACTTTTCTGCCTATATATGTCTTCTAATAGTTTTATAGTTTATAGATTTGTTATGTGTATACATACCTTTATAAAATTTAATATTTTCATTTTAAAAATCTATTTAAATAAGAGAGTTTAAGTATTTTGTAAACTCTTCTTAAACTCTTAGTTTTAAGCAATCAGAGCATGTTATGATATACCATATTCAATTCATTCATTCATTCATTCATTCATTAAATTTATTGGCTGCCCATCTTACCTCAGAGTGTTGGATGTCGATTGTAAGGCAAAGATAAATAGAATATGCACTTCATTGAAAAGAATGAGTAAATTTAGAAGCAATTATTTTAAAATTCATAGTACTTAAATTTATTGAATTTCTGCAGATGCGAGCGCCGTTTTGAAGGTCATAATAGCCGTTGTCATCCATGTGGAATTAGTGTTTCTCCTTGTGGCCAGTTCATCGCTTGTGGATCTGAAGATAAATGTGTATGTATAGTAGCTTACTTCTGATAATATATGGTATTCCAAGAGTTGACAAATTTCATATAACCATCATTATAATCTGGTGTACAAACATCTTTCCAGGAGTTTATTCATTTATTGGTTTTATTTTATGTCATCTGTACTATTTTTTATAAATAGCTCAATGTGGGGAACATACTGAATACTCCTTCCTCCTTCTATTTTCCCCATAACAACTCTGAAATAAGTTGGGCTGAGAGAGAGTTACTGGCCCAAAATAACCCAGCCAGCTTTTGTGCCTATAATCAGCTTATTCTCAACAGTATGGGCACTGTTTATTCAAAGTTCTCCATAACTTGAAATTCTAAATATGTGTAATAGCAACACATCTGAACTTTAAACTTCCCTCCAAGAACCATAGTAATAACATTGAACAAATAACTAACTAGTTGCATACAAAAGAATGCCTTAAAATTGACTACATCTCCAACATAAAAATTGTAATAATTAGCCTTTTCTAATCATCCACTGTAAACTCCAATAAACAATTTTTGTAGTTTTTAAATAGTATAAAATATACTTCACAATTCTTAAAACCTGAAGACATTGATTTTACAGAGTAGACTATTCCAATTCTTTCTTCCATATTATGTATAATTGAAATGGGTTTTTGTAATGTTGTTCAAACATTCGTGATAATAAATTGCTGATTGGTGTCCATCAAGCTTTCTTCAATACACAAAGGTTTCCCCAGATTCTGGAAACTGTGAAGGCCCCTGTAGACAGTAAGAAAGATAAACTTGATAGGAATATATAAAACTGTTGCCAATAAGGGAGAATATTTGTAGCTGGGGTTGAAATGAGGGTACAGTGATGATGTCTTCTTGTTTGGGTAATGAAAAGACTGCAAGAAAACAACTAAGCTCAGAGAGCACAAGGACCTCTCAAGAACTGTTGACTTGACAAAAGAGGCTGCACCATTTTTTAAGTCCCGAGAAACAAGGTAATATTTGGAAGCTGCTCAAGCAGACATCTTTTTGATTCACTAGAATATAAAGAGGAAGAGGGAGTACAGCATAATCAGAGTTATAAGGCTCTGTTATTAAAGCCAGTCCCAATCAAAATAATCCTAGCCTTCCCCATGGAATTGATTTCTTGGTCTCATCTACCCAAATAATATGACTAATAAATATTTTAGCTGTTCATGTTGCCATTTATTTGTCTCATTGTCAAGTTATTTTCCTTTTGCAGTGCTTCAAAGTTTTTAAGGATACCATTATATATATTACCTGACTAGCACTAAACCGATTTTCATCGTAAATTCTCTCCAAAGAGATTTTTCCAGCCATTTTTAAATGGGGATTACTCTGCAGTCTTGGTTTGTTATGAGAGTTGGACTCAGATTTTAAGATTCTGCCCAATGGAATGAATTATGTTATTCATATAATAGTTATTTTATAACAAATTAAAATTACAGAGTAGTAATTTTTTTTAAAAAATGAAGAAGACAATAAATAAAATAACAGCAAATATACCAAGTTAGACAAAATGAAAATGGCAGCAAGTACAATATGTATCTTCTTAAGGCCCCAGCTGGGTGCCAGTATGAACCAATTGATTTCGCTATTTGGTACAGACCAGAGAAAACTAGTTAAAACCTTTTCTGACTTATTTTTCCTTTAATTTATGACAACAGAAACAGGACATTAGAAACATTCCTATGTGTCTTCTTTTTAAAAAGGCCAGGTTTTTCTGTGATTGAATAGTTCACATAGTTTGAGGATATTTTCTTGAAATAAGGCTACACATTTTCGGTTAAAAGATTTACTAATGTTTGAACATAGAATATAAAATGTAAATAGATTGTGCTGATATATTTCTTGAAACATCATAGGAATTATTGAAAATAATATGGAAATACTTGAGTAGAAAAAAGGCTGTTCCAAAAAAGGTACACCCAATACTTTTCTTTGCATATTTTTAAATGATACCTTATTGAAATAAATACATAATGGAGATAAGTAATAGAAATGTAGGTGTAGTATGAAGCAAGAATGGAATCATAGGATTGGGAGAGACCTTGGAAGTCTTCTAAACCAATCTCCTGCCTATGCAAGAATACTCATAGCATGCCACAAAATGACTGTCAAATCCTTTCTTGAAAGATGCCAGTGATGAAGTGCCCATGACTTCAGGATGCAGGCTGTTCAAGTTCTCATTGTCTTTTTTATATTTGTGGTGACCAGAACTGGACACATTTATTTATTTGTGTATGGCAACAGGTCTTTCAGATGCAGTCAGGCCAGGAAAAAAAAACCACAGTACTAATACTCCCTGTGATCTTGACTGTTCTTAGTGCAGCCCAAAACTGCTTTGAATCTTTTGGCAATTGCAACATTTGCTAGCTCGTGTTTAATCTGTGATCTTTAAGAAACTTCTCACAAGTATAACTGTCATAACCACCACCTAAGACCACCTAACTAGATGAGTGCATGTCCAAAAAGTGCTTTTTCAAAAGGTAACTGGACTTTGTTTTTTTCTTTGAAGACATTTTGCTTCTCATCCAAGACGTTTCTTCAGTTCTGACTGAATGATGGAGGATGGAAGGATTTATATTCCTTGCTGTCATCTGCTTGTTAATTAGCACTCTTTCTGAGAGTTGTTGAGGTCACTTGAAGGTTTATCTGTGTCCTCAGGGTCACCTGAATAGTGCAAATGGGTGTGAACCTTCTTGGAACTGCTAAAAGAATTGTGTTATGATCATGTACAGAACTGTACATCAGAGAAACAAAACAACCACTTCACAAAACACATGGCACATTGTAGGAGAACAAACCCATCAGGACAAGACTTAGCAGTCCATCTGCATTTGAAAGATAAAGGTCACTCTTTTGAAGATGGCAAAGTCCACATTCTGGACAGAAAGGACCGCTGGTTTGAAAGAGGGGTCAAAGAGACAATCTACATCATGGGTGTCAAACTGCCGGCCTGTGGGCCGGATGCGTCATGCCAAAACCACGCCCACCCCAGCTCCGGCAATGGGGAAAAGTCACGATACATCGGGACACGTCACATGACGTGGCGAGTTTGACACCCCTGATTTACATTAAGAATGAACAGCCCTCTCTCAGCAGAGGGAGAGGGATACGACACCACCTATCTCCTGTTTACAACACAGACCTTTCAGCCATTCCAAGAAGGTTCCACACCCATTTACACTATTCAGGTGACCCTGAGGGCACAGATAAGTCACAAAATATACACTAGTCCAGCAGCTAACATATACACAGCTTCTCATTTGCCAATTGTTCATATAAGCTGGATGCAAATAACAGTTTATTTTCACGTTTAGTCAAAAAAGGTTATAGATAAGTGTAGATAATTTTAATTATTTAAAAGTATTTTGATATTATTTGTAAAATCATGTCTGAAAAATAGATTCATGTTTCTGAAAGTAGTTGAGCTATTAAAATATTAATATGAGCAGTATTAAATAGTACTAGACATATGATACTATTAATAGTAATATCAATTGGTGATTTTTTTCCCCCAGTACCTTTAAGTCATTTATGGCTCTTGGTGACTGCTGGGACAAGTCCTTGTAGTTTTCTTGGCAACATTTTTTGGAAGTGGCTTGCCATTAAGCGCTGAGAAAGAGCATCTGGCCCAAAGGTCCTAGTTGGCTTTGTAGCTAAGGCTAGACTTGGACTGATTGTCTCCTAGTTTCTAGCTGGTACCTTAAACTGCTACACAGAACTGGTTCTCATTGGTAATATTAAATACAAGATATGTGTCTGCTATAAGTAATAATAAAAATGTGATCAAAATAGATTTTGTAAATTCATTTTGTGTTCAAAATGAATAAATGTATAATTTTTGGAGAAGGCAAATCTATGTACTCTGGGAATATTTCTATAGACTATAGGATGGCATGAACCTTGTCTCTGCAGGCAACATCTCTTTTTAAGGGTTTTAAGTGGTTTTAAAAGAATCAATGTACCTCTGTGAGCGAAAGGTTATTCCAGTAGCACATTGGGAACCTTTATTTCTATATCTTCTAAGCAGTGCTTTTTTTCTAAAAAAAAAAGTGCCGGAACTCACATACGTCATACAACCCGCCTTGCCTACCCTACAAGGTTCCATCCAAAAAAGGTGCCGGAACTCCGTTCTAGGCGTTCTATGAGAAAAAAAGCCCTGCTTCTAAGTCTCTAGGACTTATGCTCACCCTAAAGTTTTCATAGTTAATGCGAATGAATAACAGCAACTAGCAAATCAAAGCCCACTGCATTAGTGCCTGCCTTGGCTGCAATCAAGGAATAGAGTGTAGCATTAATAGCAGGTGAGTCCAGAGTGGGTTTAAAAAAGTCAAGTTGTGACTGTGACTGTATGATCAAAACACTATCCCTTTTTCAGGTATGTGTGAACAAATGTAAAAAATTAAGTCAGGTTTAACTTTTTTTTACCTCTCCCCCCCCACCAATGCTTTTGAGCAAAGGCAACCATTGGATTGTGGGTTCCATTTTATCTTATGAAAGGCTGGAATTTTGATAAGTGTACATTTTGCGAAGAGGCATTTAAAATAAAAAAACTTTTGCTCCTTGATGGGCTATTGCCAACTTTAAATATGTATTCTTTTTCAGGCTTATATATATGAGAAGCATTCCAGCACCTATTCTTATAAACTGACAGGACACACTGAATCTGTAATCAATGTGGCTTTTAATCCGTCATCTCCCCAGGTATTTTTAATGTTTTCCTTTTCCTTACAAATGTTAATTTCTGAATGTTTGTTAATCAAATATTGTATTGCCTTCCTTTCTCAGCATTTTTTTAAATTTCCCATTATAATCCCATTGAGGATCAATTATTTTTGCTGTTAGTGTTAGGCCAAGTTGGAAGTATGATACTTGGTATCTAAAAAAAATGTATAGTATTTCTGATTATGTGGAGGAGTAGGATATGATCATTGTGACTTTGGAGATAGGTTTTTTTTTCACTTTTTTTTTTCACTTGACTAATGACGT